CCCACTAACCTTTAATACATTTAATGAAGCCGAACTGATTAAAAACCTCAGCAAAGCGGCTTCCGGTTTGGCTCCCGCGAATGGCGGACACATCCTCGGGTTGCTCCCGAGGGCGTCTCGCCCGCCCGCGGTGGAGGAGGGAATCCGCGCGAGCGGAGACTCGAACGAGCCCCTCAAGAGAGAGGAGCTCGGATCCGGGGCGCTTTAGGGCACACTAGGGGGGAGTCTCTCTTTCGGCCAAGAGGTCGGAGACCGAGGCTCCCACCATGCCCTGCCCTAATGGACCTTGCTGCGTGAGCGACACCGTTTCACGGGGTTTAGCGGAGCCACCAGACGTCACCGAGTGATTAAGCGATCATCCGAAAAAATGGAAAAGAAAAGATCGGCTTAACTGTGAGTTGTCAAAATGCAGAGAAAAAGAACTAAGAACGTTTCCCCCCCCCCCAGCGGAAAAGACGAGGAGGCTAATCCTCTAATTATAAGCGAGAAAGAAAAGGAGGGGGGGAATGGACTGAGCGAATAGTGGTGTTTTCCTTTGATATATTTGAAATAAGCAAGAAAAGTTTTGTTTCTCTGGAGCGCATTTTAAGAACTTTATTAAAAGTAAACAAAAAAATAAGATGTTGGAGCTGGGTAAAGACAAGCGGAGAAGAAGGGAGGAACTTCTGGTCTGGGCGTTTGCTTATGTGTGAGAGCCGGCTGCCTAATGCTTGGACTGTTTACGGCTGTGGATCTGACGGGGAATTGTGAAAAAAGAAAAGTTGAACTGTGACAGCGATAAGTACCTTATAAGCGCTTTTAAAAGTCAACAGTTGCGGAGGAGGATCCAGCGGAGAGATTGGGAGCGTATAAAAGCAAAATCGGAATTAAATACCATTCTCAAAGCTGGAGATCTCCTGAAATGGCATGAAAGCAAGAGGATTTAGTATATGAACTGAAAGTGTTAACAGCGACCTGAAAGAGGATTGGAAAAGCCGGAAGGAGAGGAAAACAGAGGAAGCTCCTCCATGTTACCGGGAGTGTAAAAAGAAACCAGCACGCAAAGAAGCGGTTCTGAATGTGCCCTGAAGAAGCTTTTTAATAGAAATTCAAAGGAACATTACTAACATACTAACATAAATAATATTTGTGACCGGATTGAAAAAAGAAGTTTGACTACTCACAGAAGAAGCCTAAGAAGAATGTTTGGACATTACTAACAGTTTAATTTATCAGTTAATATATCACTCAGCTTTCTCTTTCTCCCACTATATACCCTCCCCATTTTTCTTTCTAAGCGAAATACCTCTCCTTTTTAGGAGAGTCAATAAAATCTTTTATTTTAAAAAAAAAACCTCAGCAAAGCACAGAAAAAACAGAAAGTTTGAGTTACCTGATAGAAATAATAATCGCTTTAAAGAGCTGTAACCCAGAGGTGTCAAACTCATTTCTTATGAAAAAGAAGAAGACAAGAGATTGGATTGGATTTATACCCCGCCCTTCACTACCCACAGGTGTCTCAGAGCAGCTGACAAACTCCTTTGCCTTCCCCTCCCCACAACAGACACCCTGTGAGGCAGGTGGGGCTGAGAGAGCTCTTGACAGAAACTGCCCTTCTCCCAGATTAGAGTCTGGGCCAGATATGACATAATGAGACTCTGACGGGCCAGGCCATATGTGTCATAAAATGTAATGCCAGGCAGCCGAGATATGAACTTTATGAAGGATACAGACAAACACAATTAAAGATATTATTTCTCTTTCTTAAAATAAAAACGTGCCTAAAACTCTTGCGATATTTTGTTTATTGAACAGCCTTTGATAATTGACACCTCCACACCCACCCCGTTTAAAAGATGCCCGCCTAAAATGGAAAGGTGGAGTGGGCCTTGGCCTGGAAAGGTGGAGTGGGTCTTCCCCTGGGTCATCTCTAGTTCGGGGGGGGGTTGGCGGAGGAGGAGGAGGGACTCTTACTTATTTACTCTGGGAGAACCTGGGGGATGGGTGGTGGGAGGACAATTGGGAAATTTGCGTCCCACAAGGTTCACATGCCAACTTCATGGATACCAGTCCGTTTCCACAGTACCGGATGATATTGGGGTGGGGGGGTCTGGCCCCTGAGAACTTACTGACTTGTTGGGTTGCGGGGGGGGGAGTGGTGGGGATGAGATTTTCCTTTCAACCCAAATAAACTGTCAGCTGCGCTGCCATGATTTGTGAAGGGAGGGTTGAGTCTGGTGGGTGAACTTCTGCTGGTGTGGAATGTTATGTCTTTGTCTGGTGTAGTGGTTAAGTGTGCGGACTCTAATCTGGGAGAACCAGGTTTAATTCCCCACTACTCCACTTGCACCTGCTGGATGACCTTGGGCAAGCCATACTTCTGTCACAGCTGTTCTTGAAAAAGAGCTGTTTCTCTCAGAGCTCTCTCAGCCCCATCTACCTCCCAGGGTGTCTGTTGTGGGGGGGGGGGAGTTTGTAAACCACTCTGAGACTCATTTGGGTAGTGAAGGGCGGGGTAGTAATCCCATATCTTCTTCTTCTTCTCTGCTGCCTTATCTCTTAGCTGAAACTACTGACCTTGGTACTTAGCTCCTTTCAGGTTCCTGGGAATGTGCACTCGTTAGTTTTAAGTGCACTTCTGTCTACCTTTTGATTGGCCTGCCTCGTCCTGCCTCCAGCAGGAGGGCCCCGTTTGAATCCACTATAACTTCCCCTCTCCCACCTTTAGCTTTAGTCTTGACACTGATCGTATGATCAGATGACCTGCCTTTAATGTACTTGGGGCTCTTTTTGTAGCAGGAACTCCTTTGCATATTAGGCGACACACCCCTAATGTACGGCAATTCTCCAAGAGCCAGTTTGGTGTAGTGGTTAAGTGCGTGGATTCTAATCTGGGAGAACCGGGTTTGATTCCCCACTCCTTCACATGCAACTGCTGGATGACGGGCAAGACATAGTTCTGACAAGAGCAGTCCTTGAAAAAGAGCAGTTTCTGTCAGAGCTCTCTCAGCCCCACCTACCTCACAGGGTGTCTGTTGTGGAGAGGGGAAGGGAATGGAGTTTGTAAGCCACTCTTAGACTCCTTTGTGTAGTGAAGGGCGGAGTATAAATCCAATCTCCTCTTCTTCTTCTTACAGAGCTCTTCTTACAGGGGCTACTGTAAGCTCTTGGAGGATTGGCTACATCAGGGGTGTGTCGCCTAATATGAAAAGGAGTTCCTGTTACAAAAAGAGCCCTGACTGTACTCAATAAATGTGATCCTTCTGAAGGAACGTTGTTGGGACTGATGGTTGTGGGACTCTGACATAAATCCTATTGCCAGAACACTTTGAGCTCCAAGGTGGTGACACCCCAAAAAATCTCACAACAGACTGGACTGGGGAGTGATTAGGGTTGGGTTATGCCTCTCTGGAACTGGTTGTCAGGTAAAAGTGTTAGTGAATGAAGGATGCTGGATAGCCACACTATTTTTATGCTATGTAGCAGAGAGGGTGTAGATCTCTGTTAGCCTCAACTAGTCGGTGTCCTCACAGAATTTGGGAAAGGAAATGTTTTTGCCAGTTTTGTGGATGTCAGAAAGAGTGAGATTGGCACATAATCTGAGGAAGCAGGTTTCACAGGGGAGAGCAGTCACTAAGAAGGCCCTCCTTTCCACACTCTGAGCATTCAAAATGTTTTTTCCATGTGGGTTCTTAGGGTCCTGTTGAAGATGACAACTCAAACTGAATCCCGTATCCCACTTCTAGGATTCAAAATCTTCTCCCCTCTGTGGGTTCTCTGATGCTCCTGAAGACTGCTACTCCTGCTAAATCTCTTCCCACACACCGAGCATTCAAAATGTTTCTCCCCTGTGTGGATTCTCCGATGCTTCTGAAGATTGCCACTCACACTGAATTTCTTTCCACACTGTGAGCATTCAAAAGGTTTCTCCCCTGTATGGGTTCTCTGATGCGTCTGAAGATGGCCACTCACCCGGAATTTCTTTCCACACAGTGAGCATTCAAAAGGTTTCTCCCCTGTGTGGGTTCTCTGATGCACCTGAAGATGGCCACTCACACAGAATTTCTTTCCACACTGAGAGCATTCAAAAGGTTTCTCCCCTGTGTGGGTTCTCTGATGCTTCTGAAGATGGCC